TTGGGTCCCAGTGGTGCTGTGGTGCGTATGGCAGATGGTGGGCGGCGACCTTTGCTTGGCTACGTCAAAACCCATGTTGATGTGGCTGGTGTCTCCACAGATGTTTTGTTCCATCTGATGCACACCAACGCAGGATACCCAGCACTTCTTGGTAAACCATGGTTGAGGCTTAATCAAGTGGTGTCATTCTGGGGCACAGATTCGCATTTTATTCAGAATGCCGAGGGCAGCTTCTTGCCATTGGTGGGGGTACCGACACAGCTCACTGACTCTGAGCGTGTTTGTGAGTTGCTTGATTGCATTACTCATGAGACGGGAGCAATCGCTGGCGATACTTCAGTGGCGACTAGTGAGTCTGATGACTCCGATGATTATGAATCAGACAGCGAAGTGACCGAAGAAGAAACAGAATCAGAAGAACTGAAAGAAGAAGCAACGGAAGGATATCTGGTGCTGGTGGGTCGTGAAATCGATTCTGATGAACGACATGGGCTGACCGAAATGCTGCCGGTACAAGATGAGCCCAAAGGAAAGAAGACGTTTTCTGAGTCAAGTGGCAACTCTGGGCTGGTTTATGATGGTTTCCCGCCAGAAGTGGAAGCAGATGCAAAAGACGTCAGCCAGAACACCAAGTGGATAAACAATCAAGAGGCAAGTGCCATCCACAGGGCTGTGTTGGCTACTGAGTTCGAAGAGACTACATTGAGCATCGCCTTGGATGATGTTTATGGAGGAGGAATTGAGAGCAATGCTCCAGCTGATGACTCCAAAAGAACCGGTGGGATGAATTCTGAGAGTATGGGGCTCCTGTGGGATGTTCGCAAGGCAGGTCGTGCTGTACAACCAGTGACGGCTGATGCAATTTATTGCAGGTCACCGGTTGTTGATTGTTTCCACATCACAGTGGATAATGTCGACACTTTGAATATTGGTGACGCAGCAACACCTGAGCAGCGATCAATATTCAACACCCTAGTGTGTCGCTATGGAGACCTGCTTGCTCACGAATTGAGCGAATTGGGTCGCACAAATCTGGTGCAATGTGACATTGAGCTGCAACCTGGAACCAAACCCATGTGTACAAGAAAGAGTCAACGTTGGCCACCAGAAATCGAGGCCTTTGCAAGGACTCGCTGTGCTGAGTTGTTAGCAGCGAACATGATAGAGGAGTATTACGGTCCATGGGGCGCAGGGACGATTTTCCCCAAGAAGAAGTCTGGTGCATATAGAATGTGCCACAGCTACTGTCGATTAAATGAGGCAACTGTTCCAATTCAGTGGCCAATACCCAATGCTGAAGCGTGCTTGGACAGGCTGGCTGGAAGAAAATACTACTCAGTGCTTGATGGTTTCAGTGGCTATTATGTGGTGGAGCTTACACCACGTGCTCGTGATTATACGGCGTTTGTTACACCGTTTGGCAAGTTCCGCTACACAGTGATGCCGTTCGGTATCACCAATGCACCCCCCGTTTATGCTCCACTCAATCAGCGAACTTTTGGTCCACTCATTGGGACTGAGGTGGAAGTGTTCTTTGACGATTGCGGAGTCGGTTCGGACAGTTTTGAGGATCACATGAGCACGCTTGAGAAGTGTTTTCAATGTTACAAAAGAGCAGGGATGAGTTTGAATCCGAAAAAATGCAGTTTTCTGCAGAGTTCCATCGTATTCCTTGGCCATTTGGTCAGTGCAAGGGGTCTGGAACCTGAGCCAGGAAAGATCGAAAAGATCAAGACATGGGAAAGGCCACATGACACATTGAGTGTCCAGAGATTTCTTGGTTTTGTGAACTACTACAGGAGGTTTATTAAGGGGTTTGCAAAACGCGCACAACCTTTGCGTGTTTTGACACACAAAGGAGCTGGATTCGAATGGGGGGATGCGCAGCAGGGCGCATTTGACGATCTACGCGAAGCACTAATGACATCTCCAGTGATGACCGTACCACGTTTTGACAAGAATTTTTTGTTGCATACCGATGCATCAGATGCGTGTTTGGGAGCGGAGCTCAGCCAATTGGGATCAGACGGGTTGCCACACCCCGTATACTATTTGAGCAAAGCGCTGACGAGGGCAGAGAAAAATTATGGCGTGACCGAGAAAGAACTGATGGCTGTGGTTGTGGCTTTTAAAAAGCTCAGACATTACCTTCTGGGGCGGCACACCACTGTCTACACAGACCATGCTCCTCTGAAGGGACTGTTAAGGCATCCCGAAATGGCGTCATCAAGGGTGGCACGATGGTGCATGATTCTTGCAGAATACGATTTTGAGATCGTGTACCGGCCTGGAAAATTGAACAAAAACGCTGATGCTCTCTCGAGATTACCCATGATTCAGGAGGGGAAAGATGCGCTTGATGAAGATTTGGATGTGATGATTGTGGTGCCTGGTAGTGACGAATGGTATGATGACATGCAGAAGTACATCACAACTGGAGATTTTCGACCAGAAATGCCAGAAAAGGATCAGAAGTTCATCAAGCGTCAGGCTGACCGTTTCGCAGTTATGCATGGGAAGCTATACCACAAGAATTCTGTGGGCGATCCGCACCTTGTGGTACATCAGGAGGACAGAAAGCGCGTTCTCAGTGGTGTTCATGATGATGCGGGCCACTACGGTGCACGCATGACTCTGACGCAGTTGATGAGGACGTATTGGTGGCCTACCATGGCAAGAGACGTCAGTGACAACGTCAAAGCCTGTGAAGCCTGTCAAAAGTATGGCCCAAATGTGAGCCCAACGAAATCAGAAACATGGTTGGTATTGGAGCCGTTTGAGGTTATTGCATGGGACTTTCTGGGCCCGTTCACACCAGTGGGTGACTACAGGTATTTGCTAGTCGTTGTAGACTATGCAACGCGGTGGTGTGAGGTTACGCCAATTGCAGCTGCGGATCACAATCACGTGATGATCATGCTGAGTGCAATTTGCGCCCGAGTTGGCATCCCCAGAATCTGCTTTTCTGACCGGGCAATGGCATTTAAGGAGCGGCATCTTCGACAGATGGCACGTGATCTTGGAGTAGCATGGGTCTATTCACCAGCCTACTCGCCTAAAAGCAACGGACTGGTTGAGCGCACGAATCGTGAGTTGTTGGATCGCTTGAGGAGGCTAACTGATGGACACAGCGAACTGTGGATACGCGAGTTGGGGCGCGCAGTTCTGGCTGTCAACTCCCGGATTGTTGAGTCAATGAAGTGCTCTCCTTTCGAAGCTTTGATGGGGTATACACCAAAGCGAACACATGAGGTGGCGGTACCGGTACACAGAGTGGAATCACTAGCGGAGGGCTGGAGAAAACCGGAGCCTGAGGAATTGCAGCAGAGAATTGACGAACTGCAGTTGCGCCGTGATGGGATTGATGCAAATCGAGCAGCCGTAATGAAAGGAAGAGAAGAAACCACCAAAACTGTGCGCAAGGTTCAGTTCAAACCGGGTCAAAAAATATGGTTACGCAATACGGTGAGGTTCAAGCAGCATGGGCGGAAATTAGACCCTCACTGGCTTGGACCATATCGTATTTTGCGTCGCCTCTCTGATCAGAGATACGAGATTGATCGGAAGGCACGAGGCGCTGATTCGGAAGAAGTCCATGTTGATCGTCTCAAGGAGTTCATCGAACGGAAAGTAACTAAAGGACAGTGATGGCAAGACCGCGATGATCTGTGTGAACAAAGTGTATGCAAGGATTCTACATCTGCTTGATAATTGAAGTAAAGGGCTATGAAAAGGGCCGGATGGTATTTGATTATTGTAACATTGTGGATTCGAGAATGCGATGAGATATTATGTTTAAGTCAACTGAGATGATGGTGTTTAGAAAATGCATGAAAGATCGCAACGAGGGCGTTCGCGATTTAGAGTAATGGGGCTGTATGTTACGGCTAGAACTGATTGAGTGTTATAAATAACTGAATGTATGAAAAGATGACGAAGCACTAGGAATTACATTAAGGATGTTGATGAACGGACTGGGTATAAAGGACAGAGCGTCTGTTGTCCTTTTGCCTCGGCTGTAAACCGTTGCCGTGGACTTGAGCGTACGATTCCTGTTCAGGGATCGCCACCCCTCGACCCTGCCTGCCTTCGTCAATGCCATAAGTTAAGCAGTTTTCAACCTCTGCCCTGCATGCGCCACACAGACAAGGCAACGGCGCTGATGCCCCCTTCGCTGGCGGCATCCTCGACCTGTGGTTCTGTGGAGGGCATCGAAGGCTCTCCAGGAACAAGACCTGTAGCTGTACCCTGTGCCAATGGAACTTGAGAATCCGAAATCGCGGAATTGAGGGCGTTTGAGGCCGTTTGAAGGCAGAACGTCGCACAACACACGTGTGAATCTGCTGCATGTAGATGAGCATTCTAACTGCCTGTTAAATGTGGTGGCTCACCAGGGACTAGGCATTTGCCATTCTTGGTCATGTCTGCATGTCATTGTGAAAACTCGAAAGCACCAGGTCATGAAACGATTGTGCAAGCTTACTAGCAACAGTCCCACAAATTCCCCACCCCTGAACGAGTATCAAATGCTCAGAACCACCCATTGTGTGTGCAGTTGCCAATGTTGCGTGCTCATGCAATGCCCAATGAGGTCCAAAGCATAGCATCTCAACAGCAGACAAAAAAAGACCTCGGTCAGATGCCCGATCTCCATGATGGCATCCATCACTACCCAAATGCAATTCTGTGAGCAAAAGTTTCTGGTCCCAACATGGCAGGACAGCCAACAAAAGTACGAGCCAGTGCCCCTGTGCACGTGCTGATGTTCTGAAAGATATTTGACTTTCGAAACATCCCCACCATATCAACAAGATAAATGACCACATAGTTTGGGACACAAGGGACTGTGACAAAAATGCCTGGCAAATCCCTAAGCCTCAAGAAACTGGCAGCAATCCCCAGAAAGGTCTTAATGTTTGTGTTCCTCGCAAAATGAACATGCCCACATTGGTTGCAAGCCAGATCGCCAAGATACAACATCAGAGCACCAGGTGCCCCATTCATCTCCTCTGCCTTTGTGACCTCTGCATCTCAAACATCTGCGTCACACGCTGAGCTGCTTTGGTAGCTGCGACGCGTGGCGGAATAATGCCCCAGTCTCCAAAAAGACAAGCTGCCAGAGCGGCAGGCCTCTTGCCTCTCCTCGGCCTGGATCGTTTCTCCACAACACGCCCCTCGCCACCCAGCCCTGTCCCCACGTCGCACTCGCCAACTCCCGTCTCCCTGGCCTCAAACGGCGCCACGCCGCAGCCCACGCTCTCCCCAGCCTCCCCCTCTGGATCGCTGGTCCCCTGGGCCCGGCCCTCTACACCAGATCCCTTTCCCACGCCCAATAGCGCTCCTACGCTCTCCAAGTCACGCCCAGGTTCCCCCTCCACCCTCCTCACTTCCTCCCGCGGACCCGCCCTGTCGGGCCCCTCCACAAACATCTCCGAATCCTCACATTTCGCCCTCCCATCCCACAGCCCCAACTCCAACTCATCCCCCAAGCATCCCCCCTCCGCCTCCGTCTCGCACTCCTTCCCGCAATACGCCCTCCCTTCCCAACTCTCCACGTCGCCGAACAGCCGCCTGATCAGATCCTCCGACTTGGGGCTGAAGAAGTCCACCGTACCAGCGTCAGGGTTGCCCTTCAGGCGCTCGCTGGCCAGACGCGCCTGCAGCCGCCGCGGCCGCCGAACCGCCGTCCCCGCCGCCACCATCCCCCCCCACTTGCTCGCCGACCCGTGCGTCGCCACGCCCAGCCTGGGCCGCTTCCCGCCGATCACCAACCCTCGCCCCCCGCCGGACCCAACACCGCATCCGCCGGTCCTTGAGGGGCGCACCCTGGATCTCTGCCGGGACCTCTTAACAGATGGACGCCGGCGAGTCGCGGCCTTGGGAGTGCGTGGGCTGGCGGGCGCCCCCGCCCCTCCGGACGCCGCCATCCTCCCAACCTCTTGCTCCCCATCTGCCCTCGCCATCGGCTGATTCGAATCCCGCGAGTCAGTCGACACCTCCTGGCCAATCCTCTCCTTTGCATTCCCTTGTCGACCCCGGACGCTTCCCGCCTCCCTCCCCCCCATCTCCCCGTGTGCCGCCCTTTGCAGGGCTTGTTTCTGAGCTGATTTCTGACCGGTTTGTTTTGCGCAAAAAAACTTGTCCCCCAGTTCTTCGCTCTCGTTCCGCACCCCCGCAGCCAGCGCCGCCCGCAGCCGCGCCTCCGCCCTCCCCTCGAAAACATCCGCCGTCCCCGCAGCCTCGTTCCCCTTCAGTCTCTCCGCCGCCAGCATCGCCGTCACGCGCCGCGCCCGCGTGCCCCTGGACTCGATCTCCTCCTCCCCATGCCCCCCGCCGCCCTCCCCCACCCCCGCCTCGCCCGCGAGCGCGCGATGATAAACAAAATTGCCTCGCGCACGCTTCCCCACCAAGGGCTGCCCTTTGCACGACCCGTTTCTCTTCCTCTTGGCAACGAATCTCGCTTCCCCCACCGTCGTGCCCCGCGATCGGGGCCCCTGGCCCGCGCCGATCCACCCTGGCTCACTACCGCAGCCCGCCGGCGGATCCGCAAAAAAGCCGCGCCCGAGGGAGGGCGTGCCGGGCGTGATGGGCCCGCCGTCCGTGCCGCCCGCAGCCAGGGCGTCAACGATGTCGCGGCCGCGGGAGAAGGTGGAGAGGTTGGAGTCGGGGGTGGAGGCCCGCGCGGGGGGGCCCAGGGCCCAGGACCGCAGATCGTACTTGCGCTCGCAGTCGCGCCGGCCGAACCTGGCCATTGGAACCCGCCCCTGGTGCGGTTCGCGGGGTGGGGCCCGTCAAGAGTCTGGGCGGTAATGGAATCGGCGCCAGAAATGTCGGGGCTTTTTGTTGCGCTGACGAAGGCAGGCAGGTTCGAGGGGTGGTGATCCATGAACGGGAATCGTACGCTCAAGTCCACGGCAACGGTTTCTGCCTTACCGGTCTCCTGAGCCCACCCAGTCATGTACCCCCATGACAATACTTACAAACAACCGTCAACTTCACATACCCGAGGTTCCCGTCCATCAAACTTGCCCATTCGCTTCGCTAATACTTCAACGCCACTCAGCGAGTGTCTCCCCCGTGAGTCAGCTCCCTCTCCTGTACTTCACTCCCTCAACTCCCTCTCCATCCCACAACTAACACGAACTCCACTTTCCAGGGCGGGAGGGCCGGGTGTGAAACAAGATAAGGAGGGGGACCGAGGGGCTGCCTAAATAGCCGCCCTCCGCCGCCCCACCAAAGCCCGCCAAACTCGAGTGCGCCCTCGCCGGCGGCACCTCGTGTTACCGTACTTTGACTGACCCACAGTACTAGGGGTTGGCCAGAAATCCCAAGGGGACGGGGTTGAGTAAAACCTCGGCTCAAAATTGCACCGTTTGAATCGCCGGTGCAGCCCACCCATCGTCGCCCTTGGCAGAAACCCATTAACAGGATAGTTAATTTCATTTCTGCCTTACCGGTCTCCTGAGCCCACCCCGTCATGTACCCCCATGACAATACTTACAAACAACTGTCAACTTCACATACCCGAGGTTCCCGTCCATCAAACTTGCCCAGTCACTCTCTGCGGGAACTCGAGATCCCTCCGGGGCAGAAGATGTGCCCAAATTGCTTATGCAAGTCGCGGGCAGTGATGGTCATCTAACCAAAAAGATGAAAGTCCCACTCTATACTATAGAGTCTATAGGTAAACGAAAAATGTCGATGTACGACCACATCGCGTCTGATTTCCACCCACCCCAATCCCGAATGCACTGCTCCGCGACCTCCAAGGCGAAGCAGCTGGACGTGCCCCCACCGCGCAGGCCATGATGCGTGAAGGGCTCTGGGGTGAACTCTAGAAAGTGCGCGAGCAAGGACAAGAACCAGGAGGCCACAGTCTTGGACGAAGGGGTGGCTTCACCGGGAAGGTGCTAGAAATGGCACAGTTGTTGGTCCGTTTGCACCCAGGCGTGATCATGGAAGGCCGCCCACCGGCGCAGGAGGTCGATGACCTCCGGGGCACCCTGGGAAGGCCACAAGCGGTAATGCGACCGGGGCTTCCCCCGGGCGCAGCTTGGATTTGTGCTCCCGGAAGATGTGCACCTCCGCGTCGACGCGAAGATCCTCCACCAAAATAAAATGGCCTGACTGGGCCCAATAGAAGAAAATGTAGTCGATGTGCACCACGCACGCCGCCCGAAGGGTGGGCCCGTCCTTGGTGGACGTCCAAGATACAGGGCAGAGAGAAATGGGGACCGGCCGGTGATGCTGCACCGGGGCCGGCGCCGCCCGACGCCAAGCGTGGGTGAGTGTTGTGGCCCCATCGGCAGCCGCTTGTTTTTGGAAGCGTGGGGGGTCGCCCTGTAGAGGTGGCCACCCGGATCCGTTAATAGCGGACAGAGGTTAATTCCGTTAATTAATCCGTTAATTAACGGAAAATAACGGAAAAAGACAAAAATTAACCAAAAAATAACGGATTTTTGGATTTTTTTGGGATTTTTGGGGTTTTTTCATACTTATAGTTTATGGAATTCGCTATTAGAGAGTATGTTTGTATTTTATTTCAACCTATGCATACTAGATTTTTAACTAGCCGCAGTTGTTGTGATTTTTTGGGTTTTTTTTCGATTTTTTTGGATTTTTTTCGTTTTTTTTGAATTTTTCTCCCTTTTTCTATAACGGAATTTAACGAACAGCTTATAAAAATTAACGAACCGGATTTAACGGAGCGGATGGCATCTTGAGTGGCCACCTCTATCGCCCTGCTCTGCGGCTCAGCTGTTGGGGGTCAGCCAGCTCTCTCCACCTCAGACGGTGGGCATATCCGGGGCAGTCGAATCGGCGGCCGCACGGTGGGCTCCATGCTCGATGAGGATCGATCCCCGGGGCCTGCTGTCGGCGAGAGGTGGCGGCGCAGCGAGGCGGTGGTTCGCTGGCTCACAGGAGGCCAAAGAGTGGGCCAGAACGGCTACACAAATTTACTGTATGCGCGCACACAAATCCGTATGCACGATGCCCAATCGCGGGTCCATCATTGTCATATCAAGACAAGACAAGTCAAGTGCCCGTCCAGGCACATCGTCACTGTCCACCGTTCACCTACGATCGACCCATTGTCCTCTGATTCCAAGCATCTAACCCTCGACCCCATGGCACGAAGTATGGCCCGAACTACAACTTCAAAAGGCCATATCTTTGCCATTTCTTAATGGATTTGGGCGTTTAGGGCGCGTTGGAACCAGGAAGCTCTAAATAACATCCCCTTAATTATGTAATTCCCACTCCACAAAATGCCAATAACCACGTCACACTAAGGATGCGGGTGACCGGGTCAAAGGTGGAAAAGCCGAGGTGACCCACGATGTGATGCATCATGGAAATGGCTGCCAACTATTGGGGCAACGACCGAATGCCCACTGTTGCGCGCCACAGTGAGGGGGCACGCAAAGGGGTTGTTTGACAGGGAAAATGGTTGCCCAGTGCGGGCACTCGAAGGCCATTAGTCCCGGGACCCAGCACCGGATCCCAAGTACTACGTACTTGGGACCACACCCGGGCACCAGTACTATAGTACTGGCGGCCACCGCCCTGGTCTGGGTTATTATTATTATTGTTAGAATACGATATCCGAAGTCCCATTGGACCGGATATCGTATTATTGCCCCATGTACCATCTAAACCGGTACATCACTCTCCCCCCCCCCCTGCCCCAGTCGCGACTTGCGACGTCTGACCCGTGCCCCACCGCGAGGGTTGGGAGCCCGGCGAGGTGGAGATGCCGCACGAGAAAGGGCGCAAGGCGGTGAAGGCTGTGGGGAAGGAGGCCCAGAAGGGCCGTGAATTGGGCGGAGCCCCAAGGGAGAAGGGTCGGGGGGAAGGGGTGACGCCTGGATGGAGGCGAGGAGCCGCGAGGGGAGGCGCAGCACTTGGTTACGCGGAGGCGCATTGCGCCGAGAGGAGCCGGGGACAGTGGCAAGCACGGCAGAAGACCCCCAAGGTGAGAACCCCGGTGAAATGGCGAGGTGGGGGGGTGTTGGTGGTGGCAGTGCCATTGAGTGACGATCCCGGGAGTGAGCTGCCTGAGTGACCGGCCCGCCACCTTATCCAAACTCAAGATCCTCCTAAACTGGTCGAGCAGCCCGAATCAAGCAAGGGGTGCTCAAAAGACTGCAAGTAGCCCAGAAATTGCATCGGCTGAAAAGGGGCAACACCTGGCAAGTAGCCAAGAAGTGCATTGGCGGGCAGAGAAGGAGGCGAGCAGGCGGGAGCAATGGCACAATGGCCGAATGCTACCCACAATGGGAAGGAGGAGTAACAAGGCGGGGTGCAGGAAGGGGGGCCGGATTGTCCACAACGGCCCCGTGCAATCCCCGCAACTGTACAAAGTCCCCAGCCAGTCAGCGCACCTCTAGCCCTATGAATCAACCGGTCACGCACAGGAACCACAGAAATGCAGAGAGGGACACGGGGAATGGTCCCAAATGTCCTGGAGATCCCAACATGCAAAACATAATTCAGACGTGCCCCTATAGGATGGCACGGATATGAGCAATCAAACAACGATCAAGCCACCGAGTAAGGGGTGGGTTGAGCACCAGAAGCAGGGTGAAAACATCCCCTATAGACCCACATGGGTAGGAGAACATGTTGCAGAATTGGCACAGCCAATGGACGGACATTGATGCTCTGCAATCAACTCCAGTCCAGTCGGGAGTCAGTGGCATGGAGACAGGCTCAGCCAGCCACAGATGAGGGCTGCAAAACAGGATACAACTGGGGACCTCAGGAGAGAGGAGAGGTCGGACCAGCAGCAGGTGCGGAAGGGGATCCCACAGCAGATCCCCGCGGATGCGCCTCTGGGGCAGACAGCTGGCCCTGAAGGAACGTGACGTGCCGGGACAGATCCTCCACAGACGCGACGCTCAGCGAGGGGGCAGTCAAGGGCAGCACAGATTGAGCTGGAATCTCCAAAGAAGTCCCCACAGCTATAGATGCTAAAGCAGACAGCGAAATGGGCGAGAGCGCCGAAGGAGCAGGCGAAAGGGCAGTCGCAGGGCCTGGCAGGATCGCAGGAATCGAAGGGGAGACAAGGGCAGCCGAAAGATCTGATGTTGCGCCTGGCCGGCATCGAGAGGGACAGAATTGCTGCTGAAAAATCGGTGGCAGCAACCGGCAGGATCGCAGAAATCGCTGGGGACAAGACAGAAATCGACGGCGCCCCAGCCACAGAGAAGATTGGCAGCGGCTGGTGCGACGATCCGGCCGAAATCGTGGCCAGGAGCGCCGGTCCAGGGGCACCAGACAGGCCCAGCCAGGGGGGAGGCGGAACCAGGGAAATGGCTGGTCCAGAATCCGCCCCCGCCGCCGGAATCGACGGGGCAAGAGGCAGAATCGAGGGGCCCCCCGACGCCAATAGCAAGGGCACCGAAGAGGGCTGATCGCCAAGCAGAATCCTGCCTGAAGTGGCCAAAACAGGGGCGGACTAGGCAGCAGAAATCTCCCCTGCCAGCAATCCCAAACAATTCTCCACAGCCGCCGAAATCGACGGGATAGGAGGCCGAATCGAGGGGCCCCCCGGCGCCAACAGCAAGGGCACCGAAGGGGGCTGATTGCCAGACCGAATCCCGTCAGAAGTTGCCAAAACAGGGGCGGCCTGGTGGCAGAAATCCCCCCTGACAACAATCCCAACCGGCTCTCCAACAAGGGAAGCAACTGCTCGGCGAGGGCGGCGATCGAAGGATCCACAGCAGGAGGATGGCGCGAGGGACACTGG